AATGAGATGCATTTACTCATATCATAAACTGTGAAGTTTGAAAAGTAAGAAGTAAATAGTACTAAAGTTTGACATTTGTACTGACTATGCATTGATGGTGTCTTAGTAGTAATGCTGACATTGATTGTGAGCAATGGTATTAATTATTCATTCTTCTATGAAGACATCAGCAATGACGCTATATAATGCAGACTGTTTTAAAATGAGAATAAAGTTAGTGATTCCTATAGCGTTTTTAGTTACCATACTGTCATTACATCGCATTCAGGACATGAATTTTGTAACTTAATCAATGAATCTGAACAGAGTTACTGTTTTTATACTTTCTCGTCATTCTTATGAACAAAAATGGTTGTGAAAAAAAAACTTTGTTTAGTGTCAGAAGGATGATTTCGCATACAATTCACAACTCAAAATTATCATCACAGTTTCACCTTTTCATTCGATCCCATTTATATGATTTGGCATCCTTTAACTAGTTTAGTAAAACAATAGCAGAAACCAGTAGGTCCTGGGTTCGAATCTCGCAGTGGGGGCGAGGTCGTGGATGCGCACTGCTGAGGAGTCCCACAATAGGACGAAACGGCCATCCAATGCTTCCAGGTTTTCCATGGTGGTCAAGCTTCAACTGATTTATGATCTTAACCATTGAAATAACAGAAATGGCATAAAAATAAACCAAAGTTTTTAAGCATGACACTGAAACAATGTAATTCAACTAAATATCTTAATTATACAATTATCAACAACTATTTTTATATAACTATGTATAATTTTCCATTATTAACCTCATCATTACAAAATGATTGATAAATATGAAAACAACCCACTTATAGTAGTAGATAATGCATGAGGTTTATAAAATGTTTGTCTGTTATTACATATAAGCTATTCAGACCACGTTATAAGCGGAGATAAACTTAAGTCACCTTCAAACATCGCACATCAAGACATAGTGCATGCAAAAGAACATCACTTGGACCACTTACCACATTACAACTTAATAATAATATTTGATCAGGGTTAATGACTAGATAGAAAGGTCACTAGTCAACACTCCGTGATCTAATTGGTAAACACCTTAGTCCTACAGAATATCAGCTGCTAACCTGATGATATTACTCCAACACTGACGTTGGTTCGGATCACTTATAGATGAATAAACTCCCCCAGGTGTAGATATATACCATGATGCAAAGTACCAACTTGTACTTAGCTTCAACCAGGTGATTCATGCGAGCAATCCCAAACCAACTAGTATTTGGGATGCCGTCTATCAGTGGTAACCAGCACCCTCATTTCATTTTATTCTTTCCCTATAGCTACTGACTTGAAGTAAAGCAACATTCAGTTATATCTTTTAAATTTTCAAAACAATTTCTTCTGTATAGTTATGCTTAGTTTGAACATTGATAAGCGTTTCAATTTTACTGAATGACAAATTTGGACACTTTCTTTATTATCATGATTTATTGTACGGATATGGTATCGATCTAGTTGATTTTTAGCTTAATGATTTATAGACTTAGTTTTAATTTGTCAGTTATGTAATCGAAGGTGACTTTTACTGGTTGAAAATTTTGTAATAAGGATATTTCATACAGTAAATGATTGCATAGTATTTAGTAAGTAGAAGATTTTTCTCAAGATTCATTTACAAGTCTTTACCAGTTTAATCAAAAGTGCCATATGTTCGTATGGTTATTCATACATCACTTCGTATACTGATCGCTCTGACAGAACCTGGAAATGTGGACCTTCGGATGTTAGTACATTAGCTGGACTGCAGTACATTGATTGCAAGATATGCAATATTCTATTCTGTCTTGTGTAAATGTGTGACTGAGCACAGGTAAAACTTTCTATTAATCACCTAACTTATTGAGTGTTAAATGTCAATCAACCGGGTATAAATTAAATTAGCGTACAAACTTCTTCTACCATTCAACTGTTCTTTCTGAATTTCCAAGCTTTGTCAATAATCTAATCTTTAGATTAAATTCATATCCACAATACTTCCCAACGAAATTCACTTAAATCTAGTCGCATATTTTCATAAATGATTTTTGAATAGAAGTTTATGATTTGACTAATCAAAGGGCTACCAGTCTATAAAAGAAACGATTTTTCTCTATCACACATTATATGATCAGATTGATTTAAACAAGTTACTAATTAACATTTTATTTAATATAATATCATTATAAAATTAAGAATATGACTTTTGATTGCTAATAAGACAACTACACTTGAATAACTTTTCTTCATTTTTTAATCTTCGATAGTGATTCTTGAAGTTTTAAGCTTAACAGAGAGATATAAGGAAAAGAATACTGTTAAAGATCTGAACGAACTTAAGCTTTAAACATACAATTGAAAAAATCTCGTATTGATATTGAATTACATGAATAGCATTGTTTTATAACTAAACATATTTACTCAAATTGTATGCTAAGTAGCTACATTTCGTGGTATTAAAAAAGATATATTGTTCTACTCCTTAATTCGTTGTTGATAATTTCGGGAGTTGATTTGAATTAAATTATGCTTTCAATAGTCTGACGCTATAGTATATCGTCATCTTGTGTAATAGATATTTAACAAACAATATAAAGTATTGTTAGTTTTTACAAATGACTTCATTAATAGAGTAGTGATGATGTATCTGTTCCAAGATTTATTTAATGTTCTCTTCGGTATTTTTTCAATTTATAGAGTGGACACAATAGTAGGCCGTCTAAATTGTTGTAATTAATGTGACAAGCTATAATTTCAATCGATTTAGGAGTTCTTTTCTATGAAAACTTCCATATATTATTCAAACACTGTGAAGAGTTACGTTATTTACATACAAAATGTCTTAAGTCAAAACATTTACGAGCATATAAATTATGAACATGTTGAAATGAGGTTTCACTTATCATCCAATAAATTACAAGAATCATATTTAAAGTTTGTTTACCAATTTCTCATGATTATTTATTAATCGAAGATGTTTTAATATATTTTTTTGGATTTATTCAGGATACAGAATTCACGTATGAAATACCGGATTGTTTAATGGATGGAGACTATATTGAAATTCATGGAGTTTGTCATGGTAAACGGTAGGTTATGCTGAAATTATTCTTTACAGCTTATCAACATAGTATTTTGTTAATATTGAAAAAGGGGTTTAACTGATCCTCTCAGAAAGTTCACACTAATAATAAATAATGAGCTACTTAAATTATTTGATTTTCAGAATAATTTTATATCAGAATGATGGTGATTTAAGCTGTTAGTAAGAAAACGTGATTGAGGAATACAGCCCTGAAGATTTGTGTTGCTGATTACTACAATTTACTATTTTCTATGTATTTAAAATATGGTTGCCAAAAGTTTGAAAATGCATTAATTATTATCTCATGATTTTCATTATATACAATAAGACAGCAGATAATTACCAGGACACCAGATCCAGTTCACACTTATATATGATGAATTTAGAAATAGTAGAGTAATAGGTTCATAATTTTTAAACTGAAGTCAAATAATTACATGACAGTTTTCTGGCTATCAATAATTTGATTTTCTTGATGCTGCATACTCCAAGCTAGGCAGTTTCAGTGTCGATTTCGACGACATTATCAGAATCCACGTTAAGTATATTACAAAACTGATGAACAACGACGAAAGATTCATAATTGAATCATTTAGCTGTTAAGATATTATTATATCTTTCTTTCATATAAATGCACCAATAGTGATTCAGTATGATTATCTCAATGAACTACAATTTATTCATGTTGAGATGATTTGGAATAATCAATAAAGAATTCATTATTCAAATGTGTTTCAAATAACAGTAGAAGATATCAGGGTCAATGTTAATAAGATTCATTTAAAAATTGAAAAGAGATCCCTTCGCTGAACTTAGTGTTTTTAATGTTTAAATGAAATTTAAATGTTAATCTCTTTCTAACGCGGGAAGTGTAATGATTACATATAGTTAATTAGAGCAAAGATAACAGAGACACACAGGCCAATCACATAAAAATCCACATGAATGTAATTAGCAAGGTCGCAGATAATATAGAAACAGAAAAGTCATATAAATAAACCATTAAATGAATAGAATTGTGCAGACAAAAGTAGATTGCATGGAAATATAACAATAACTCCTACAACACCTCGAGACTTGTTTTTGCTCCTCTAGACTTGTACAGATAACTGTGTTATATGTAAGTGCTTACATCTATCTTCTTAAAAAGCATGCAACTGGAACAGTTTCTTTTCAAACAATAGCAGTTTTTGCTACTCATTGATATCCACTACACAGGTCGGTTATATTTCAACTGACTGGTTTTCAAGCATGGAATGTGTTAAGTGAAGTAGGACCTTCAACCACATAACCTCTGCTGAACATAGACTCAGTTGAATTGACAAAACCTGACAAGTAGCGCATTAAGTGAAACACAGGCATTTAATGGAACCATTTAAATCACAGAATGTCATTGTTAGTTTTCGGTCCTAAATAAACCGTAGCTAGTAAACAATTTTTTTGAAAGATCTACTTGAAGCCATTTGTTATACAATTAAGTAACTAAGAGAACAAGGAACTAACTAGAAACGGTTGCCCATATCCCAACATAATTTAACAACTTTTGAATTCTCTGGAAACAATATCAAATGATGCCAATTGTACATTAGTTTGTGATTTAATTTGAATTTTACATTAAGTATATTAATGAGATTAGAAAATTTTATTATATAAAACATAAAACTATTTACCTTTATTTATACTATCTATTGTTTGAAATTTCTTACAGAATAGTTTTTGAATTATTAACAGAAGAAGCATCTACTCAAAATATATTTGATAAATTACCTCTACAAATCATTTTAACAACAGATGGTTTAGTAACTGTAATTAGTCGTAATCCAGAAAAGGTAGCAAAACAAGAACGTTCTGTGGAAAATGGAATACAAATTGATAAAGCTTTCGAATTATGCGTACATGCTTATAAGAAATGTTATGTTGTAAGCTGAATAAAAATGAATGTTTTATTTTATCAATATTGTTCATATAATATATTATTTTTGAATATTTTCATGAATTCTGAGTACATGTTTTTACTAAGTGACCTATTATTTTGGACAGACTCAAAATTGCATTTGATATGTATTATGTATGTATAATGTATAGGGTTTCCTTTTCACATACATCCTGCTTCTTAAGGCATATTCTAAAAGTCATCCATAGAAATTTCAAATAGAATTGTTATGGTTGTATACACTTGCAAATATCAAAAACTGTGCTATAAAGATTACATCTATACCATTAAGCTTAAGTATGGGATTTTATTGATCTTTTTTTACTAATACAACATATATATTTGTGAATAATATCAAATAATCTATCCAGATATTTATCAGGAAATAAAGGTTATGAATAGTATTTACTTCCAGCTGGTGACGATTAATTAAGCGGCAAAAAGCTTGAGAATTAAAAGCTTTGATTACGTTTGAAGTCCAAGTTAATTCAAAGTGCTTTGTTCCTATGGTTACATAGTATCTAAGCAGTGTGAAAATTAAAATAAGAGAAATTTGTGGATTTATTTTATATTTTGTCTTTTTTGTTTCATCTAAACCAAGTTTAGGCGTTATTGGAGTACAAAATTAGAAGTTTAGCTACTTCTCTCAGTTTGACAAACTTATTACTTAAATAATATTACGGTGATAAAAGCTCCATATCATCTGTTAGCTTACAGTCCATATTTAAAAATTTATATCATTTGCTGTCAGGCATTGTCATTTAAATATTATTAGATCATTAAAATGGGTTCGAACATTGAAACTGATAATGAACAGTACCAAGAATAAAATATTCATGTGTATATGGATAGACCTAAGGATGAAGTGTTCGCTGTTAACCTGCATGATACTTTGTCTAACCATTGACAGTGGATATTAGTGGGTACCTCTGAACTTATCTAGTTAGTTACTTATGTCTGTTACCCCTCATGGAGGAGCATACGTCGCCTACAAACATTCTCCATCCAACCTTTTCCTGGAAAGTACTTTTCAGTTTCTATTCATCCTTTTCATGTCTGTTTCCAATTCTCGACACAGTGTGTTATTTGGCCTTCCTCTTTTCCGTTTCACTTCAGGATTCCAAGTTAGCGCTTGCCTCGTGATGATTTCCTCGATGTGTATCCTATCCACTTTCAACGTCTTTTTATAATTTCCTCTTCATCTCGAAGATGGTTTGTCCTCTCCCGCAGTAGGCTGTTGCTGATGGTATCTTACATATTCAATTGTTGGTAAATATTCATACATTTCAGCTCTGTACAGTAGAAGTCTAAATGTTCGTATTGAGGATTCTCACTTTGATGTTAGTTACCAGTTGTTTTCAGTCCCATATGTTCCTGAACTGTAGGAATGCGGTCATCACTTTGCCAATCCTCGCCCTAACGTTTGAATCGGATCCTCCTTGTTCGTTGATGACGCTTCTCAGGTACGTAAAATACTCCACATCTTCCAGGGCTTCTCTATTAGGTATGGTTGGGTTAGTGTTCTCCGTGTTGCACTTGAGAATCTTGCTTTTTTCCTTGTGTATGTTGAGGTCTTCTGATGCAGAGGCTGCCGCTACACAAGTTATCTTCATCTGCATTCGTTGATTTGTATGGGATGGATGGGCTAGGTCACCTTCGAAGTCCGAATCGTCTAGTCGCATCCAAGTTGTCTATTGTATTTTGTACTCTCCATGAGTAGTGGAGGTCTTCATAATCCAGTCAACTACTAGAAGGAAGAGAAAGGGGGAGAGTAAACAGCCTTGTCAGACTCCAGTTCTTACTTGGAATGCATGTGTCAGCTGTCCATATGCACCACTTTGCAGTGTAGCCCATCCTAAGCCTGCACCCTGTTACTGGGGACTATCTTGAATTAATTATGTCAGTGTTTCGAAGGAAAACTGTACCACGTTTGTAGTGCTGTTTGTCCAGTTGTCCAGTGTTTCTTTAGCTTGATTTTGTTCTTGACCACAACCAGGTGGTAATCTGAAGCTACGTCGGCTCCTCTACTGGTTCTCACATTTTCCACTGTCCTGAATTTTGTATCAATACAAATATGATCTATCTGGTTCTCCGTGGTGTGATCTGGTGACACTCATATAGTTTTATGTATGCGTCTGTGTGACAATACTTTGCTGTCCAGAACCAATTTCATGAATGCACATAGGTTTGAAAATCTCTCCCCATTTTCGTTTCTCTCTCACAGTCTGTGTCGTTTCATGATATCTTCATATCCGGTGATGTCCATTCCGGCTTCGGCGTTTAGGTTTCCATCAAAATTTTCAGGTTCTTTCCTAGGGGCTTTGCTAAAATCGATCACACCCTCTCGTAGAATTATTCTTTATGGTTGTCATTGGTATTATTGGTGGGTGCATAACATTAGATAACATACATTGTAGCTCCCTCCCTCTTTGTTTTAAAGAATGTTTTGATGATCCTAGATCCATGAGATTCCCATCTTGTAAGTGCATTTCGTGCATCTTTGAACAGCATTCGACCAAATCACTGAGTGTGTGAAGCATTTTCCTCTTCATTACCGGAATACAGCAGCATCTCTCCCGTACCTAGCATTTGTTGTTCAGCTTGGGTACAATGAGTTTCGCTGATTCCGAGTGCTGCCAAGTTGTATCTCCTCTTTTTTGTTGCTATTCGATCAGTTCTCTTGATTTCCCACATTGTCCGGACGTTCCATGTACCTATATTAACTGTTGATCTGGTTGCTAGAAGGGGCATTGACCCCGTAACTTCCGAAGAATCTCGGCTTTCATCATGAGGCGTCATAATTCTTCCTTCACCTCCCAGGAAAGACTTTAAATTGCTTATTCTGGTTAGCGTTTTTTAGCATGGTTGTTTTCTACGGGATGTGGTCGCCGGCCCCACGCCCAACCCTCCTCCTTTACCGGGGCTTGAGGTTGGCATTAGCCTTAGAAGAGCTACAGGTGGAGTTAAAATATGGAATGCTTCACAATTTCGCGTGTTATCCTTGAGCAGGGGCCATGCTGATCTTCTGTATCGTCCAAATTTTAGAATATGTACCGAAAAAGTGAGTACTGCTGAAGTTGTAAACTAAATCTAATCAGCTGTCTAATTCTGCCTGTACATAAGGATATTTCTGATGATGTCAATTGTTACCACAAGCAACAGTCACCCAAACTAAAATAACCTGTGTTTAAAAAGAATATATTTTTCACTTTCTTTAGGGGAACTACCAGAAATACCAAGAATAGAACGAATTTTTTTTGTTTCCTAAGACGAGTTGTCTCCAGTATACATAAATCGTAGAGATACAGTTTTCACTAAAGTTCTTTAAATGGAGAAACATGTTAACTTTATCAATTATCTAATAAATGATATCTTTTACCTATATAGATCAAGTGCGTAAATACGTTCTCACATATAATTGTAGCCCTGGTAACATAGCGCTTGTTTATTAAAAAAGACTTCATAAATGAAATGATTTTCTGTAGATAGCTTAAATGTCCATTTATCTAATCACCTTACAACCTATCATTTTATATTTGTTTTCGCTAAACATATTATTTATTCATTCCACTAATCTTATGTCATTAATCAGTGAAGTGAATTATTTTTTCATGACTGACGGATATCAATTGGGATAAGCTAACATTTTTGCGTTCATATTTTGCACAAACTTGATAACACGTTGTTAAAAGATCATAACTAGTACTAAATAACTTTTTTGTACCTCATGGTGATAATTTATTTTTGGATTGTGTCAGCCGACAACAAAACCTAAAAGAAACATAACTAACTAAATACAAACTATTTTCAATGATTATTTCATAATTCATAATCAAGTATATGCATCATTTTTCTTCTGATCATCATGTAACTATTCAGCTATGGAGTCACATCATTTTCGTTTGTCGATTTAAAAAAAAACATTTTGCCATACACAAATGTCCGAGATTTATTTGTTTTACTATTGTAATTGTTAATTACAGTGTACAAAAGTAACTTTTTTTGAAGATGTAAAACGATATATATTAAAACAGATTGCGGATACTATGAATGTGATATCCTTACATCTTAAGTAAAATAAGAACGTTTCATGTGAATTTATTTTATGGTAACTTTGGTAATCATATTCATTTTAATGGTTTAACAATCGGAAATACAAATGTTGAGTAAGAACTAAGGCTTAATTTCTGTAAGTAATTAATCTAATAATTGATCCAGATCGATTATTGTAATATGTCAGGATGTAACTACAGAATCGTGATCGCTTAAAAATAATTAAAAAAATGTGTTTAACATTTAGTTTTATAGCAAGAAGTAATGTGTAATGCTTGTTCTATAACTAGTTATCAACTATATTCTATGGCTAAATTTCAAGATCTAGACTTTAATCCCTGATTCAAATTCCCAGTTATCAAATCCTTTAAATTGGGCAATAATTGACATAATTAAGAATATATGCTATGGTTCATACATCTTTCTGCATTAAGATTGCCTAAATGTTCAAACGAACTTTGTGGTATATATCGTAAACTCATCAATTTATTACTGTGTAGTGAAGATAATAGTCAATATTCCACAGTTCTGAAATTTATAAAGAACATATAGAATTAATTATATCACCCCGAAAAAGAGGAAAGACGATAACTGAACTTGAAATATAAATTTATATATTTCAAATGAAATTTCATTATTAATTTTCAAACCATTCAACTTTTCTTGTTTTGTTCTTATTCTTTCTCTCGTTCTATAGGTTAAATTAAACGGGGAGGACGTTTGTGGTCAAGATCATCTTGTACCATTGAATGAAGCGTTTGCTTTATCAATGCAAGGAAAAGTTGATATATTATCTCTTGAATTTAAAGACATGTATTATGATGAAGAGGAAATGAATAATAATACAAACATGTCTTCTGCTAATAATAACAGTAATAGCATTAGAATGGATGATGCACAAGCAGGCTTTGTACGTGTCAATGAGTTAAGACAAAGTTCCATACGCAGAAATGATCCGCCAGTGATGGTACCAACAAGAACAGGTTCCAAATTGGAGAAACAATCAATAAAAAGTAAAGATAGTAATCTAGAAGTTACTGCTTGGAAAACGTCAAATGATTTATCTAGAGCATATTTAGACGTTGATTACAAAGTATCTACATTAGATCGAAATTCTGCAGCCCATTCATATCGTAATAGTATTGATTTTAGTCACAATTCAGACTCAAGAATCTCTGGAACATTACCACCTCTAGGCAAGTCAGCTAATGACAGAGTATCAGATTACGTAATGGGAAGTCGAGGTAACCTTAATACAAATGATGCGTCACATATAAAACCGAAAACATCTATTTTTGGTTCTCGGAAGTCTGCTACCTTAAGTAATAGTAAAATTGAACAACGTTTTAACGAAGGCAGAAGTCAGACAGATGCAGGCGATTTACACCATGGAAGCTATTCTGTATTGGATGACGAAGATCATATAGGATCTCAACTTTCTGCTACAACATCAACACCTAACTTGCAAGACAAACATAAGAAAAAACGATTCAGTTTACTTGGAAAGAACAGAAAATCAACAGGCTCCGAGTCAGATGTACGTAATGACTCTAAGAAATCCAAAGGATCTACTCCAGACATAAGGTTGAAAGATGGAGAAGGCGAGAAAAAGAAGAAGGGTTTACATTTAAAAAATCCTTTTAAACGTTCGAAAACTAAAGGTACAGTCAGTATGACCATAGCTAGATTAGTCAAATAAAGTTACTGTGGATGAAGGGAATTTCACAGTGTTAATACGTACTAATGACTATTATCTCATCTTTATCGCTCAATCCTTCTTCTCTAACTTATAATACTTAACAATCAAATAAGTACATTATACATTTGATAAAGCAACAAAAAAAACATGTAAAAGTCATTAGAATGACAAATAGCAGAAAATTGTGTTATCAACCGCCCAAACAGCGACAATAAAGTTGGTCTACTTCATATCAATACTAGACTGATAAAAAGAGTAAATTATGAATATAACTGGGAGCAATCCTAAGCTATCTGATGGGGGTACTATTTAGAAGCTAGTGTGTGTAACTAGAGCTTTTTGCATATTTCCAATGTCGAAACATTTCCCGAATAAGGTTTTTTCTCTGTTCATGAAGCGGTTCGTATAGCAGCTGACATAAGATCCTATTTCAACTGGTTTTTAATAATATGTGCCTACGTCTGTTGTGAAAAGATCCGAATACTATCTGTCTTCAATGGAGCCACAGTTTTATCTTCTCGATCTCTCTAAACTGTTTGAAAGTTCGAAAAATAGGTTATTAGTTAGCATGTCCGTTCATAGAACAGTTTAGTTGAAAACATCAGTTTTAAATCGATTCTTCGCCATTCAATCAGTTATAGGTTATACAGTTTAGCTGATCTCATAATTTGTAATATTATCCGTTCATCGAGATTTAAATTTAATCATTTCAGTAGTTTTATATGCTGTAAAAATCCAACCACTTTTTATAATAAACACCATGACTATTGTACAAATCATTCTCAATAGTATGAACATCTTTATTTAGAACATCCAGTTATTATTCATAGTAGTTTCTGGCAAATTAATTTTCAGGGGCTATTGTTAATTAACCAGATAATCCTGATTCATCACAGTGGCAGATCTGAAATTCTGTATGTTCCTTAATGCAAATGTACTAAGTATAAGGTTTATAGATACATGTTTCCAGTACGAAACCATTGTTCTTAGCTTCCTTCACTCAGATTATTCTAGGTCAGATAAGTGAATTGGATTTAAGATTTTAAAATTTTGTACCCTTGAATTAAACCACTAAATTTTCTCAAATCCACTAGCTTAATAATAATAATACCCCTAATGTTGGCTAACCCCGAGGAGGATTACTAAAGTTCTAATGAAAAGCTGATATTAATAGGATTTAACTATAGCTATGGAAATACAATATGAAGATAGTATTAATCATGTAATGATTTACGTTGAAAATGTAGACCACTGAATTGTGACATGGTAGTATGAATATGACATATTTATTATATGACCAGTAGATCTTGGCTTTAATCTTGTTTCAGGTCATGTGTAAGAAATTCTGAGGAGTCTTAAACTATACCACACTCATTTTCGAATGATACTGATATGAGTTTATTAAGAAAATCGAAATTAAATTAAGCAATCTAACAGGAGAAATATAATTACCTATGTAGGTATCATTAACAAGGTTTGAATTGATGATTTCGCATAAATTGAGTATTGGGTAGATTGTTATAAGTAAAAATCATATATTTGTAATATCCCAATTAGTAGAAAAATAGTGTTTCTGACGTTTCATGACCTAATGTACGCCAATTCTTCAGAGTAAACAAATAACCGACATTAAACTTGTGTTAATTTATTGTCGGTTATTTATTTACTCTAAAGAAGTGGCTTACATTAAGTCATGAAACGTCAGATACACAACTTTTCTACTCATTTTGATATAACAAAATGTATATTTATTATTAACTCTACCAAATGCTCAATCTATTTGAAACTATCAAATCCAACTTTGATATGGATACCTATATTTGAAACAATCTTGAATTGACTAATATTAGCTATTAACCATTAACTAAACAAATAGAGGACGATTCCTATCGAATATATACAATTGTTCATTCAGAACTCGTCTTTGTAAAAACCAAATTATTTTTATAGTAATTTTGTATAAGTTTTTTTAGGACCTAAACAACTATTGAAGAATAAATGACACGTTGGGTAAGAATACTGTAGGTTCCTTTCCTTAAACTTTTTAATTTTAAATCAATATAAAATCTGTAAAAACGTAAATTATTATTTAAAATTTATTACTTATTGAGAAATAAAGTATGATGGCTATTGAAATTTTGTTCTGAAAATTTTGTTCTGTATAATTCATTGTTATCAAGTAACCTTGTTTCATGTTATTACGATTTCAGATCAAACACCTTCAGTATCATCAGATCTTGCTTTTACTAGGAACACTATACATCCGGCAATTAATGTAGCTGTCACTGAACGATTACCAAAAGAGATGTCTAAAAAACCAGCACCTGAAATTGCAGCTTATCTTCACAAATCCAATCCATCAGCTGAATTTGATACACTTAATTTAACTGGTCGTGAAATATTGAGTGAAGATACTCATTTTGCACCTTTTGATAGGAAACATTATGATGGATATGAAAATGTTGGTAGTTCTTATGATCCATTTAAACACAAGACGTTGAGTGACTCAAGAAAATCCATCGAGATTTCATCTCTAAGTGATTTGCACTCACAAGGTAAACTTAAAGGACCAGCTCCGGAATTAGCAGCTTTAATTCACTCGAAGCATCCTACTTCAAATCTAGAAGATATAACCATTGCTCAAGGTTCAGGCTCACATATAAAACCATTCACACCAACAGATCATTCACCGAAGCAATCAAGATATCATAATGAACCTCCCTCTGATATTGCAAATTTAAAATTAAAAGGTACAGCTCCTGAAATAGCGGCGATAATAAACTCGAGAACTAAAAGTCCCAACCATGAAGATATAACTCTTACTCAGAGGTGTGATCCAAACTTCCATCCGTATCCTACAGTAGATACATCAGGAAAAAAACCTTTTAAGCCCAGTGGAAGTGCATCAGAGATAGCTGCCGATATACACAAAAATAATTTAGCAGATCATCGACCCTATGCAGATTATACCCTAACTGGTACTAATACCAATGAAATACAAGGAACAAAATATGTACTGAAAGAAAAAGTGCAATCTACACGTAAAGCTCTTTCTTTAAGTGAACATATATCAGATGGTGATGAAACAGAGAGTGGAGGCAGTGAAGTGTATACTGACAATGAATGTTACTTAGAAGTAGGTAAAAGTGAATATTATTTTGATCGTAAACGTTCCCTGAGAAATTATCGTTCTAAACGATCAACGAAATTGGAACGTGAAGCTAGACGTAATATGGGGTTACATAGAAATGACAGTCGAGAATCAGTCAGCAGCAGTATCTCATCGCTTAAACCAACTGATCGAAAATTGACCCCAAAATATAGAAAACGTCCAGGTACTAAAAAGGAAGAAGTCTCATCTTGGTTGAACAGCTCTAATTCACGTAAGGAGGTTTTTTTTCACTTCCTATTTACTCTTAAGTTCACGTTATATTATAATTTTTGTGAAATATTTTCAATAATAAAAACTATTATTTTGACTTCTGAATAAGTTATAAGCTACGAAACTCTGAGAGTTATTTATATTGAAATGTAATATCCAAGTTACCGATAACTTATTTGTAGAATAATTAATAAATAAATGTACCTGTACCCGATGATCTTTGCTGCTTTTTCTAAGGATCAAATCACGCCTTATAAGCTATTCAGTATCAAACTACTGTTCACAAGTTCACCGACTGTAAGGGTTGAAATTTTCATTATTTTAAATGAAAATTGCATGTTAAAATAATAACTGTGGAAGTTGTAGATCTATACAAATATTTTTTGTACGCTCATAAACTAGTTGAAATTTAGTAGAAAAGAGGTACTTTTGTTCAGTTTTTGCTTCGTTAGAGAAATTATGCTTTCTATGAAGCAGTCGAAAACCGATTATTTTAAGAGTAATTATGCTTCCTGATTATACGGTTTGGTTATCCGAATCATCTGTATGAATGTACATGCTTTTGTTTCAAAAATTGTAGATATTGGAAACCAAAGTACGAGGTGTTTTACCTACCACTTTTTAGCTTCCGTATAAATCGACCTATGTCGTACGTTAGTATAGAAGTAGTCATATAGTACATGTTGACTATACTAAATACTTATGTGCTCAATATTTTTCATCATTTTAACTTCACTGTTATGTTAGGATTAAGCTGTGTCAATGTTTTTGAAGCATTTAAATATAAATGTTTGTAAACCAACATCTTTTGTAACAGAGCTATATTGGAGATAATAATTATCATTATTGATGTTTACCAACTGTTCAACTAATAATCTTCACAATAAAATTAAATTTTATTAATCTTAGTAAAACTACACAGGTATATACAACACTAATTTTTCATACATTTCTTTTAGCCTATAATCCAATCCGTATAGATGGGAATGTATATCCAAATTATACATCAAATGTTTACGCTTCAGCTCCTATTGTTCATAAACATTTAATTCAAAACTATTTATTAAAAGATATTATTCAGGTTAGTATATTATAGTAATTTAACAATAATTATAAACATGAATCAACTGAAGTTAGATCACCATGGAAAACCTAGAAGCACTAGATGACCGTTTCGTTCTATTGCGGGACTCCTCAGTAATACGCACCCACGATCCCACCTCACAAGATTCGGACCTAGGGTTTATCAGTCTCACGCGCGAGCGCTTGACCACTAGACCACTGAGCCTGCCGGCATCCACTGATGTTAATGTCTAACTTCAACCAATCCAGTGGTTTAGTGGTTAAGCGCTTGCGCGCAAAACTGGTAGTCCCTGGGTTCGAATCTCGTGAGGCGGGCTTGCGGATAAGCACCGATGAGCAGTCCTACAATAGGACGAAACGGCCGTCCAATGCTTCCAGATTTTTCATGGTGGTCTAGCTTCAATTGACTCATGATCTCAACCATTGAAATTACTATTATATCCACAAAAACCCTTCTGATAATAATTATAAACATTTAAAATGATCGGATGTAGTGACATGAATAGTTCATTTTAAAAGAATATCTATAAAAAAATTCACTAAAGAATGTATCACAACAATAATCTTAATGAGGTTATCTAACATGTATAGTAATTAATGAATTAAGCTTCATAAGTGAAATACCGTTGTAGTTTTATTTTAATTGGTTTACATAGTGTCCCAATGTGTTACAGTTTCCCATCAGATCTTTATTAACCCAGATCATATTCTTCTATGATAATGTTTTTCTTCTTAATATTTGGCAAGTTGGTTATAATCTTTTAATTAAATTCCATTTAATTTAAGATTTTTACTTGACATAGATAGAATTACCGGTTTTGTATGTTAACTACATTGTAGGTTAATTTAAACTTCGTATCTTACTTCATCTATCTATCTATCTATTATATATATATATATATATATATATATATATATATATATATATATATATATATATCCGTAATCACAATTAAAACAATGATCAAACCTTCATTTTGCCAAATCATTATGGGTGTACATTATTGTTTATTATGTAATGTTGTATTATATGAAGGCTTAACATTAACAATTCAGCTAAAATGAATTTATTAGGATATCAGTTTTCAGACACAAATCCAGTCAAAAAGTGTTCCAATCTAATAATGTTTGTGTTATGAGATAGAACTATATCGTACCATTTATAATTGTTTTTCGTACTTGCAAAATTTATTATATAACTCATTTTGGTTGATTACACAATACATATGATAATGAACCAACTGGGGTTTTTTTCCTCATAGATACGACATAATTCAATCCACTTATGATGTTAATTCATGTTCATAAAATATTGATTTTTAAATAAGTTTGGCAAAAAATAGTTCATTGTGAATCTATCAACATTTTATGATGACCAATGCAACACTATAGTAGTTTCAGTGGGAAAGTAACAAATACATACATTTTTGAAATGTTTTGCTTTAATGTACGATAAAAAGGTTTATTGTTTCACCATTCTGATTATAATCATGCTTTTATTTTAACTTGTTGTTTTATTAAAGTCAATAAAATGTGACAGCAGTATGGATTTACCACATCCTCTAACAACTGGACGAAGTGCATTAGTTTATGGTCATTTCAAGTACAGTTCAGCTGCACGCCAATCCTGTTTAATAAAACTTGAGTTCAACACCTTCTGTGAAGAACCTAATGAATGTGAAACACTTTATCTTCAATTATGGTCTGATGGTGGCCTAGATATTTTGAATAGCCAACCCGTTAATAGCAAAATTCTATACAGTTCTTCAAATGATATTCAATATTTAACACTAAAAAATAATGAAGTTTGCAATAATGATAAGCAACAAGTAAATTTCACTCTGAAATTCATATCTCAAAGCTTCTATACTGCTGTAAGTTTCAGTTTAATCATACTCCTTATTATTTTTGCATTTTTGATAAGCTATTTGACGTGTGACATTCGGTTTTATCAATGATTATAAAAGACAACATCTACTGATAGCTTACTGAATATCAAATTTTAATTCACCTAGTTCATTTATGCAACCAGATAGAAATCTAGTTACTGATATCATTTTTTTATTACAACTGCAGTATATGAGATGAATTACAATTACAAATGATAAAAAATTTTGTGATATCTTTGAAAATACCTTGTAGTATAAAGCAATACGCCAAAAATACGAGTATATGAATTTACAAAAAGACCAATGGATTTAATTAGTTGATAAATAATATGAAACAGTTAGGATGTTATAAAATATGGTTTCTTGTGAGTGATGAGTGTCTGTATGACCAAATACGTCCAAGCTGAATCATCAGTTTTATATAGGAGAATCATTATCTCCAAAGAGGTTTATATATATGCAATCAAATATTTGAAATGTGGTTTTCACCTGATAAATATTGGAGAAAGCAACTTAAAATATGTATGAACAGGTTTATATAAACCTGACGAATTAAATACAGTTAAAAGAGAGAGCACCAAATGTTGTGAGTAGCACATGTATTATATTTAACGATTGTTAATATGACAAATATATTTACGCGTGGAAGCTAATTTGACAATTCAAACAACATTTTACAATAAACAATGAGAACTGTACAAATAGAATGAAATTTTGAAGGATGTGAATAATAACAAAGACCATTCATAAATTGAGTCCAAATTAACCACCTCCGCATAGCTTCCTCTTAGAGTGTTTCAAGGTGAAAATAGATTTGCATGTGCTTAGCTGTCGAATAATCTGTTCACTACGAGTATATGTGCATGGGGATCTGACTTCAATTGTTTCCTTGTTTGTAGTGACAGTTTGGCAAATCCTGTTGAGTTGCCATTCAGTTTATCATTCTCGTTAAGTAGTTGTCTGGGTCAAATTAGAGTTGTGCCATACACTAATTCAGCCGTTGATCACTGGATATTTTCTTTAATACTAAGTCGGATTCTCAGAAGAACGAGTTGCAGTACATCACTGCATTTTATTGTATTCGCCTGTGGCATAAACGAGTTTTTTAATTGGCGATGGAACCTTTTCACTAAACTGTTCAATGTTGGGCTGTTTTAGTGATATGGTGTACTCCTAGAAGTCAACTTAAATCACGGAATACAGCTAATTGGAACTACGAACTACACTTCGTAGTTGTCTTAGATAGAACACTGAATTCAGAAATTAAACAGTCACAAAATACATAAGCGATTGTCTCTGCCAAGATACCTTTAGTGAAGAGTACCACTGCCTATCTATTGAATCACTTCATTGCTATACATATATCTGTAGACGACTATCCTATAATCATAAATTTGTGAGACACTGAGTGTGGCTGAAAATTATGTGAATTTTTTAATTTGTAAGTAAACAGATCATGAAAATTATTTCTTTTAGCTTAAAAGTAATGGAATTACAATATATTTAGTGATTTTACTTAACTTATGAATCCGTAATCAGTTTCCAAGCTTTATATTTTTATCACTAAGTGTAACAACATAAATTACGTTTCCTTATAAATTCTAAACCACGTAATCTCTAAATATAAGTATCAACTACAAAGGTATGAATAAGGTTGTCACTAACAGCTACAATCTTTTCAACTGTGCATAATAAATCAAAAGTCCATATATAGATACTGATTAGTTGAGCAGTATCATATAGTTACATGATATATATTGTTACTTAGACAGTTAATACAGCATAATTATGTAGGCAAGTGAATCAATTACAGAATTCAGTTGATTGAGTGGCACAGATACATTTTTTACTTTTCTCATTATTCTTTTTTTGATCTATAGATGACGTCAAAATATGGTTTTATCAATTCAATAGTTTCATTCAGTCTTTTATTAGAATCATAATATTTAATGGTTAACCAACTAGAAAATATAAATGGCTAATATCAAGTCGATATTGCATGAGATGTAATTCTGGAGAAAAAAAACACTCTGGTTGCCAACTATGTGACCTAGAGAAAAATGTAATCATATATACATAATATTAAAAAAAACTATAGATTTTACTCAACTGATTGAGTAAATTTTTTAATTTTATGAAAGATAAAAGAGAAGTTGACTCAGTTTACACAGTTTTTTTTTAATCTTCAATTGGCAATTTGTTGTGGAATAACTATTGGTGATTTTATAGAATCATCATTGTTTACACTACACATTCTTTATGTTGTGATCATTTAGATTGTAAACTTAGTCCAACTAAATTTTAAGAAAAAAAAGTGTTAGTTATTCAGAATTATTTTTTGATAGATTGGCTAAAATGTTGTGAGAATATGATGTACTTGTAATACATTGTATTTGTATTTATTTAATATACTGTTTAGATTACTTCAAATGATCTATTTACATTAATATTGAAAAATCAATTCTTGAAATCTACTAATTATCACTTGAAATCATTTAAACTTGAAGATTCAACAAATGCCGAGTTGGATAAACTTTTTATGCCAAGGAACTTAGTAAGTGTGTTGTTTTTAAAAATAAAAATATTATATTGTACAACTTGTTACCTTAGTTGCTTATTCAATTGTTTTAAGTTAGCAATCAAAAGTGAGCTGACTCAATGTTCACCTATAGTTGTTAGGGTATATCGAAACAAATTTCCGGATATAACTGTTTTTATAGTCTCGTTTCATGATAAACCCTCACGAGGTGAGTATAATTCATTCAGTTCAACTTATAAAACGTGTCTATAACCAGAATAAGTATGGCTGAAACATGAATTTTATGAGAGCTTTTATCATAGAAAACATTGGTAATATAATGGCTATTGAAAAACCGTTCAGTGGGTTTCTAAGAGGTCACAGTAGTACTCTTGAATTCACTCTGTGATGTTGTATCAGATATCTGAGTTTATAACAAGTTCAAACTTCCAGAATAGTCCGCCTACTGCTTGATATTCAAATCTAATAGACATTAGGTTATTATGAATTATTCATTTATATCTCAATAACTAATCAGTAGTGTGGTTTCAAAACTAATTTCAAGAAAGTTCCGTGTTTAATGATCGAACAACCAAAGTGGGAAGAAACAATTACGTAAAGATGATTAACATATTCATTTGTTATATATATATATATATATATATATTCTGTGTAATGAATCGACTAGTTAAATAGTTTATTTTACATAATTCACGTACAAAAGTAATAGATTATGTAATGTTCCATATAAATCATAATATTAAATGCTAAAATTGCTTAAACATTCATCAAATAGTGGTTTTTATAGTTGCCTTAAGTATATTACGTTAAAGAAGTTACTTGAACCGGAATCAATTAATTCTTATTGTTTCTTGTGAATAAAAGCATGTCACCTATGTAAAATGTATATGTGTACTTTAGTTTTTCAATTTTTAAATTTACATAAATGCCTATTAAATTGATCATAAAATGAATACTAGCTTTGTGACGTTTTCCACTTAAACTTATCATATGACACAAAAAAGCGGTTTTCAGTAGTTATACATACGGTAATGCATAGTCTCTTAACTATTCATATCAACTGATATTGCCAGGTTATGGTTGATGATTTGAACCTGAAAGATTTTGTGAAATTTTTGAAGGATATATCTGTCTATGCAAAGAGGTAAGAAAACAAAATTGAAATGAATAAAAGTTAGTCAAATGAGTTATTTATAATGTATTGTTAAAAGATAGCAACCGAACAATCATTATTATGTAATTCTAAGTTGGTCATATTTAAGATTTCTATAAAACATATGGCATACAATCTATCATGGATCACAGTGTAAAGTGATTAGTAGATTATCCCAAACAGAAAATAAGTCGGAATTGAAGAAATAAATGACTAATTGTTTGTAACTAAAAGAATTTCTAATCTAATGTGATAGTGTTTTAGTATACTTTGTTTAAAGTAACAAGGTGGTTGCAGTTTTTATAGAGTGGCGTTAAGGTTTACCGATTTTCGAACAGAATTGCAGAAATGCCTTTAAATTCTTTTGATTTCAACTTGGAATTAATGACTTCTTTGTTTGGAGTTTACATATTAACACGCTCGAAAACTCTTGAGTTTCCGATCGCAATAATATCGGATTCATATTCTTAATTTCATTAACCAAATTCGGTAAAAGGAGCTTGTGTGTAAATCTTTGTATTTGATAATAATCCATAGTTTCATTCTATAAATTATTTCGAAATTGATGTTGGCTGTTTGTGGATCATTAAACTGAGACTCAGTGGTTTAAAGATATCGTATTATATATCAGACGTAATCGTACTGAATCCGAACATACGTAGGATGATGTACTCGTCATTATTGAACTAGGGAAAGATATACAATCAGACGTACTTAATCTTCAATAATCTACTGGTCATTGCCCATATTGATAAAAAGTTTAAATTGGGTAATTTTCACAGACATCCTATCTCAACACTTATCTGTTCTCATCGCAATTATGGCGTTTTCCACCATTTATATTATGCCTTTGTTGTCATAATACAATTTTGAGATAATTTATTAGAGTTTATATCAAATTAGGTTTTATACAATCCTCTTGTAAATATATGATAAAACCAACATCCTAAAGCCTGAAACTGAGCCAGTAGTAAATAACTGAATGATTGAGCTACAGTCGAGAATTCCCTTTAAAAGTTAACACGCTACTACCACACTTTTTGTATAAGACAGAATAAAGTGAATACGACTGTAAATAAATTAATATGAACGAGGAAACTATAAAAGATCGTTGATACTTAAAAACAACAGAACTTTGCCTAAAATTTATTTTCACATTAGTTAACCGTTAGCTGTCACACCTATTCTTAATCATGATCTAGTTATAACAAAAATTTGATTTGTATCAAATATAGTAATTTTTCCCATTTCTAGTTATTAGTATGAGCATAATAATTATGAAAACTTGATTGATAACTTTTATGTAATGAAAAAAAATAATCTTGTTCAATCAATAGATGGATAAAAATTGAGGGAATATATTCATTTGAAAATTTATGTGGGATTTTAAATAGGCTGCTTATTCGAAGATCAAGAGGCGTTTATTACAATGTTGTTTTCTATCCTAATAATATTATCATGTTAATATCCTTAGTCAATTATTATTTAGTAAAGACTAAAAAACAATATTCGAGTTTGATAATAATTCGAATTGATCATCTAGAAGTAATGCATTGGTTTAAATGAATATGAAGTAATTTTGTAAATGAATAGGAAAATGACGTAATAATATATTTCATAAATGATAATGAACTGGAAAAGAAAAATACTAACTATAGGGAGACAAGAATTTCGCCTTGAAATAAGTTATGTAACAAATTGATAAGAACAAATCTCTGTAAATAATCTTTCATTTAGTATTTAGGAACATTACAAACTGGCATTTTGCTTTAATATTGCCATATTATTACTACTTGAAAAGTTATCTTCATTTTAGTTTCAGTATTGTATGCTGAGAGTAGGGTAATTCAACAAGATCAAAGTATGAGTATTAGTATTAGTATTAGTAGTAGTAGTAGGAGGAGGAGGAGTAGGAGTAGGAGGAAGAGCAAAATTATTCGGCTATAATAACGTCGCTAACATTCAAGAGAATATGTTCAATGAACCCAGTCAGAATTTATTTAGATAAAAGGAAAAAAAATATAAAGAAATCATTGAAGAACAGATCACTATATCATTAAATCCTCATGATAAATATTTACAAAGTTTATTTTATAAATTTCATCAATTCTAATACCCCTAGAAATAGATCTACTACTTTTTTTCCAAGGTCAGTGTTATCCAATTTACATAATAATCATTATGTGTTTTTAATTTTATGTGCACTGATTTAATACACCTTTCTAATTCATTGTTCACCATTAAATATGAATGCATAAATTAACTAGAATTAATTCATTTAACCAAATAGTAGTGTTTATTTAAGTGTTAAACTATCGATATCTGTTACTATGTAAGAAATAAAAGTGTAAGATTTCTCTTTAAAGATTTCTAATTAAGAAGAAAACACTTACTATTGTGAATGAATTGAAGTAGATTTTCACTATTTAGCAATAAATGTCATAAATGTTAAAGAATGGTAAAATTGTTTAATATATAGGATAGAATATATCTGAACTTAAATGTCGTTTGGAATATTTATGATTTAACAATATGAGTGCACTATATTCCTTAAATTTGGTGTTTTTAAACTGTTCAAGTGGTAAGAATATTGATGAAACAAATCAAATACTTTGAATTAAGTTTATTTATATCATGAGGTCGTTAACATGTTTCATGTAGACACATCTTCTATACATTATAAACTTGAGTTGACGTATTCTAACATGGATAAACTGGTCCTAAGTAAAGCACGGTTATAAGTTAACTTTTATGTCAGCTACTAATATGTCAATCGACTGTAATTATGAATGTTATAGCAACATTATAGAACTTTCTAGATCACATTTGAACCCACTAGCAAAGCAATGTTCTATCACATATTGATGTGTTTAAATAAATTGATGGTAAACTTTCATTCCTACAAGGAATGAACATTGTTTAGAGTAAAAATTAAAATACGGTTATGATTCACTTCCTACAAGTTACTTACAAACTCATTTTAAGTTCTGTGAAATGGGCGTTTTTTATTCAGACACTTTTTATCAATATTTTCTTTCTTTCCTTATTCCCATATAGTGTTTACCACTTATTCTTCATATGAAAGATGAATCCAGTCAAACAAACACATTAAATCTTTTAACAAAACTAACTGCTGATACCAAAAGGTAAGTCTTTTAGATATTTAAAATGTTTATAATTATAGTTACATATTAGTTTCTAATTGTAAGAAAATGTTTAGTTATATATATTTGCATGCAGACTAATGGCGTTCACATTATCAAGTGCATTGTCAATAACTTGACGTAGTACAAAAAGATTAAAGAAGAGTGACAATAGATGGATCTGGTTTTAATCACAATGAATAATTCGGTGATTTATTTGAAGTAGTGGAAAAATGGAGATATGAACTAGGAGTTGATATTTTATTATAAGTAATAGTATGCTTTCATCTAATTACCAATAAAGTTTATTAGATTATGTATTTGTAGTATTTCGTTTCAATCACATTATAACAGAAATAGTTATGAATTCACTTCGTATTGTTTACTTTAATCTTCCCATTGATGTTTAGGACTGCAATTTATCAGTCTATTTCACTGCTGGTCACTATCCATCTTTGTTAAGAAATAGTTATGGTTATAAATATACTTGTTTAACTTTTAAAATAAATTTATTTAAGGTGTTTTTAGTATAAATATTTTACTTGGCCTATCGTTAATAGATATCTGTAATACATGACGTTTTAACGATTGAAATTTTCCATTTTTAGTTGTCATATTTTAAATTTATGTTATACGATATAAAAAAAAGTGCCTAACTTCTGTTTGAATGCCATTTTAGAAAAACAAACTAGGGTTTGAACAAATTCATTAAAATCAGATATATCTACTATATACATGGTTAGATATATAGTAATTTTATGTATAAGATGATTTAGGCACAACAATAGACTTTGTAAAAATTGTAATTATTGAAAAGGATAAAGCTAACATTATCGATACAGTAAATAAGTGATATATATTTAATGTGTTGTTTAGAGATTTTGCTCTTGAAATAAGTTAATATATTGGTGAACTTTAATTCTCATCGAGTAAATTCAAACGAAAGATGTAAGAGAAGAATATTATTTTTTTAAATTAAATCGTCATTAGTCGTTTTCTAGTCGATCAATGGTTAGTGCCCAACTAAAGAACATACTTATTATTAGATTAGCGAGTATCTGCTCGCGCGACTTGAACATGGTCATAGAAAATACTTACTGCACTTGGATCTATTACACTTTGTCGATAGCGTTCGTGCAATGTAAACATTGACAAAGTTCAAAACGGCGCATCTTATTTTCTTAAGTTCTACCAACTGAATTAGATCTCGTTTTTGCGTGTAACTGTAGGCATGGGAATCAAAGCTAAAAACCCTTGTTTTTGAGCCCATAAGACGTTTGAAATATCAGTGTTCACACATCAAGTAGTCGACGCTATTACAATAAGTGTAATAGATACAGTTGTGCTCTGTACTTCTATAAAGTAAACAAAGCTATCTCATTTTCACTGCCTTACTAACCAGTGTATAAGCCCCATATTTTTTGCCGACGAAGCCTTTTGATATTCACCCAGTGTTGTTTATCTGAAAAAATATTGTCGTTCATATATCAAAAACGAAGTCTGTAAAACTGTATACCGGAATGCAATGTGTGTCAAAAGTGAGATTGTTTTCCCAATAAATGGTTTACCAAAAAAAAACAGAATACACAGAAAACTAAATAAAATAACAAATGTGAGAAATCACAAAAAAAACGTGACATGACCGCGGTAATTAAATTAGTGAAATGCTACTCCTTTGAAGTTGATAGTTTTTATCCATCTGAAAGTAGACTCTATATTGGACGATGAGAACGTCACCTTTTGATCTAAGGGTAGGAGGAACAAGAGTATATGAATATACAATTTCACACTTAGAAGAATTAAATTTTTGGGGCAAACCATAACTTAATAACAAATGATTAGACTGAGTATTCGCTATAAACGTATAATGTAGTAAAATTGTACTGAAATTGCTCGACTAGTGTTAACCCTGAATAATTTAATATTATATATAATTTCAACCTAATGGATATTGATTTGATTCTCAAAAGTTTTAATTTGAGATCGCATATCCTAAACAGTATTTCGACCTTCTTCCCATGATTAGTGAAAAATCTTTTATCTTACTATTAAATTCGATTTATTACTCATCATAATAAGTTATGGAATGTATTTCATCATTATCTTTAACTTGGAATTCCCTTGATTAGTGTAATATTTTTTATCCATGAATATAAATATTATTGTATATTAGGGTAGTAGATTTGATAAAAATCTCAGTAACAACAATCTCGTTCTCCTATGTGCACTGTTCTAATTTTTCTCTTAATTTCTTTTAATCTAAACTTTTCTTCGAAAATTCCGGTTGATGTTCAGCAAACAGTTTTATTTAGTTTACATTTTCGAGATTATTCCATTTAAAAGTGCATAGCTGATCAACTTCACACCTTTAAGACTATATTTCGGAGAAACAAGAGTAGCTTTCATTTTAATGAGTGGTGAGTTATTTTACCTCAACTCTCATTAATTCGAAGTATCACTGAATTAATAAACTTTTAGGGAAAAAGAGTGCTGAATGAAAGATTATATTTCGTTTTGAAATATGTATATATATATATAGACATTACCATGGCAACATTAGAAGTTCTGTTTACTGCTTACAAAATATCTAGCTTTAACACCATCATCCGATCTAAGATTTAGTTTTGTCCATCTGATGTTTAGTGATGCTAACTAGAGTGAATCAGTCAGTCAGTCAGCTACAACGTAGAACCAGGCACATATATGCATCGATCCACGTTGCCATACCTCGTTGGTACAACAAGATGAACACCAAATTCATAGAAGTAGTTAATTCAGTGATGGTAATATATAAAGGAAAGATTTTATATTGGGATGTGATACAGAAAGAAAGAATTAGTTCGTAGAAAGAAAGGTATAAAGCAATTTTAATCTCATGGTTTAAGGGAAGACAAATAGTGTACACACCTACGCCGTCGTGATCGTTTCTGAGCCATGTCAACCAGAGTCTCCAACCGTTGGTTGCAATAGTCACGTGGACCCTAACCAAGTAGTCAGCATCTACCAACATGGCTCAGACTAGAAGTTAGTGACTTTATAGGCCGATGCCACGTTTTTGGTTTGGCCGCTCCGAATTCTCTTCCAGCCATCCCTAACAATGGTCAGCATTGTGCATCGTGGTAATCAGTGTCCAGGCATACCTCTAACAGCACTCTAGTGAATAAAATTATTTGTAGTTAATTTCATTTACATCTTAATCAATAAATCTACGTAACTCAGTGATTACTTAGTCTGTCATTTCATTTAAGTATTGTTAATTGGTGATGCTTAGCTTGTTTTCATTTATTTGTGCTAAATGGAATAACTTTTTACAATGTAAGCATACTTTTGTGTATATCTGTTTTTGCATGTGATAAAAGTAGCTTTTGTTTGACTATTCACATGTGCATGTATCCATAGTAAAGTGATGATATTTATGCCAATATCAGTGTACTGAAACACAATCGCTATTACACAAGTGACACATTACAGAAATTTATCACTCTAGTTTACGCACATACGAATAACTTAAATAATATTAATTTGATCATATTTATTCTGATTACACATATTCTTATATTTACTGTGTAAATAGAACACAATGGCTTAACTAAAATCATATAAGATATGATTTATGAAAAAGAACTAATTACCTTCATTAGTAAACATTTTAAAATGAACTTTAGTGAATCTATAAAATAAGCTTGTTTCATGTGTATGTCAAACTGCATAAACATGTTCAGATCATTCTATTGTTCAAAGTTAAATTTATAATTAAAACGCAAAACGTTCTTTTACTGATTAGTGAGGAAGTGATGTTGATTTATTATCATTGACTTGCATATTTATTCGAGAAAATGATCAACGTTAAGGCTAGGAGTTAAGTTTAATTAGTGCTTAAGCATCAAAGTTCCAAATCTTGCTGCTAACAAGATCTTATTCCAACTGTGCAAATTCAATATGTACATTGAATCTTATCAGAGAGAATAAGATAAAGATGTGCACAAAACGTCATATAACTATTGGGTTTTTCTCTATTTCAGACAGAATGTATATAATATGCTGAATCATACCTAATTAACGTCATTATTATCACCTTTATTATTCACCTTTCTTATAATTAATAAGTAGACTATTATCTCTTACACGTTTCGTTTCATTTTATTTTATTTTTCTAACTTCTTAATGGATATGCGATCTTCTCACATTTGAAATTGTATAATCTTCACTTTCGACGTTTAGTATGTTCAACTCTAACATGGTACGCCTCTGACAGATGCAGAAAATAATACAAGTATATTTTTCACTTCAAAACCATAACTTTTATTTACAGTACTAAAAACGCGTGAATTATACTTTTAAGTAATTGCAGCTCACGAAGCATAACTTTTTAATTTCTTCAAACTTATAACATAAACATCAGCTTTACCTTGCATTCTAGTGAACTTCAGGATCAAAGGTGCACAACATGGCTTCTTTATACAGAACGTATTTTTATATTAAAAGCATCAGGATAAAGAGAGATATCTATCAGATGTTTACTGTATTAAAACTAGAACTTTCAGTTACTTAATCATTTATGCGTGTGCAATTGTCATTACCAAAGTTTGACTTTATATTTTCAGACGACCTGAGCTTTGTGTAGACTGTTACTAATACAAATAATATATTTGTAATATCTCGACCAGTAGGAAAATTAAAATTTGTGGTGCTTCATGACTCATTATCAGAACTTCTTCGGAGAATAAACCCAAGTTTAAATAGTACAAAGGAACAAAACGAAAATATATAGTTATCAGTATAGTGTTGTTGAGATTATTTAGTTTTGATTGAAATCACAAATAGATCAATGTTATACCACCTGGAAGCACTTGAAGGCCATTTCGTCTCAGTAGAGAACTCCTCAGCAGTGCGCATCCGTTTAGTACAACCAATAAAAAAGCAGATTTGATCAAGTCAATGTGGTCAAAGTGATTTAAATGAGATATACTTATGTATTTGTTTGTGTTATTGAGAAGTGTGACATTTTTAATATGAAAGAATAGAATATGAATTTCTGTAGATCCAAATTTTAATGATGTACCAACTTATTTAATCAAATGCTGGCATATCAAGTAAGTAGTGTGAATAGACTACTCATTCCAGGATCTGAAGATACTAAACAAAAATAGTAAATGTCCTCATTCTTTCTGCCATAATGTTATCACTCTTTCTGCTATACTATTATCAATACACATTATATGACAGTTTAGAATGTTTTCTATAGTTTAGTTATTAAGTCTACGACAAATTCACTTTGACATTATGTGTTGTATGTGTGGCAACATTTTATCAGTAATCTCTATAATTGACAATAACAGTAATTTTAGATGAAATACGCAAAATGTTATGTTCCTAATTAAATTCAAGTAATCATAGTCCTTTATGTCTTACGTTAGATTAGTAAAGATGATAGTAAAGGTGATATTTTGGTATGTCACTTCTACAATAGACCGTATAGCCAACGTTGAAGCAAACTGATACACCATATGAATCAATAATTAACTTCACATGAAGTCCTGATGTCTGCTCTTATTGCTATATGTGAATCTGTTTACAGTTTTTCTGAGAGCCACTTTCCCGCTTTTAGTCTTTTTACTAAATCCGGTTTAAAAATAAGCATTTTTGAGTTGAATGAAGGTGTTTAAATTACAAAAATAACTTCGTTACTTAGGCTTAGTTTTGTTATTTAAATTCTATCTTAAAATTATTTTCTCTGTGTTGATAACTTGTTGAACTAAACTGCGTTGTTTAATGGGTTTCCAGTGCTTCGTTGTTTACTCGTACTAATCACTAACCTGATTCATTAAACCACTGCAACAGTAACATGAAAAGCCTAAATGACACAGTTATGCATATAATATGTTTACTTATAATTATCAATTTTCATAGTTTCTATCACGTACTGATCTTAGTTAGACAGCCACTGAAAAGCAGGAAGCCTTGAACAATTATTTTATCCTAGTATGGGACTTCTCGGAAGTCCAGATCCACAACACCACAGGGTGTCGAGCCCAGGACGTTTCTCGTAAGACAACACCTTTCAATAAAGTTTATCTACAATCTTATAATCACCTGTTCATTCGGAGCTGTCGACATTTGAGTTATTTGAAAGGTCACTGTTTTTTTTTTAGCAAAATTGAGACTTCTACAGACTAATTATTAGTTTATCTATAATTAATTTCATACTGTATATGTCTTACTGATGTTTATTTTTACAGAGTCATCATCGAATATGTTTATAAACCTATCAGTAGCTCTGAATTTGTCTCAATGCAAATCCTACTGAACTTTGAGACAGGTAACTTAATAATACAAGAGATCGCAAAAGAAACAAATAATATTCAATATGCTGAAAAAGAGATAACATATATTCCTGAACAGATATGTAAAATGAAATTCAGTTGGTACAATAACACACTAAAGGTAAGTGACTTCACCAATTTCAATTTCTATTTAATTGATATTTTGGTAATCACCTTTGATTGTAATTAAAAAATCAATATAACAACAATGGTTGAGATTAAAGTTATAACTTTGAACGTTCAAAGTGTTTCATCACAAAATTCAAACTTTTCCTATTAAAGTTAACTTCATGTTTATGAGTTCAGTAATTGATGAGTTTGTGATACCTACATTTTCAAAAATTATCAACTGTAAATCCTTATTTTTCCCCCAGAAACAGACTTGAAAACTGAAATCTTAGATGTAGTACTTAGATTTTAAACACTAGTATATGTATATCTAATTAATTGATATTTGTAGCATAAAATGTTTAAAATTACTCTTTTGTTAGTACAGTATGTGTTTTTATTCCTACTCTAAAAGATTATCAAAGCAGAATCTTGTTATAGTTTTAGTACATCATTATTCGTTTTTAGGAGATGTATTTATGAACAAATCATGCTGATTGAATCATGAATTACTGTAGTTAGACTTTCCATATTTCGAAAGAAATGTACCTGAACTGAATCGTACTGTCATTATTAATAATTTAGGTTGCATATTATTACTATTATTAGTGTGAATGAATACTCAGGTGGGGACAATCAATTTGTTTGTAGACATAAGTACCATACACTATCCTATTAGTAATATTGTACGGCTTTTATCTTGAATAAATTTCATTTCTACCATTTATGGGAATCAAATTTTCTACTTTAATAACAGAGACTAAAAATTTACTTTACATGACAGATCTTTCTGAAGCAATTAATTTTTTCATTATAGTACATACCTTTTCAGTTAAAACCTGAGAGACATTTAAAGCTTTACTGAACTTTTTCATGTGTATTGACAAGAAACTAGACTTTGTTATTGAGTCCTACTTTTCGTTCATAGAAATTTCTATTTGTTCCATAAGCTAAAACAGTCAGGAGATTTCCTATTGAAAAATGAATCAACGTCCTATTTTTAGTTATACTGATTGACATTATCGATTCTATTAACTTGACTTAATTTTTCTAAAATTAACACTAAACTTCATTTATATTATTATCTTTACTGTTAGGTACTTCTTAATAGTGACGAATCAATGATGTACAATTTTGAACAGTATTATCCTCTTCAATTCTTATCACATATTCGAATCAATGGAGATTTCATGCTTTTAAATGCAGAAATTCAATCGGATGAATAATATAATTTATTTAGCCAGGGTATTTACAATACATATATGTCTCCTAGCAAAAATGAATACAAATACGATATACATATACATTGGATGATTCGTGACATTTTAACCATGACTGATACAAGTGACATCATAAAAAAAATTAAGTGTATTTTCCTTATTCATTAATTACTCTACTCCACTTTATTTTCTTTTCGAATATTTCAAAATAAAATTTGTTAAACATTATTTTATAGTTAAAGTATTCTCTTATTGATGTGTGTTGATTGATATACAAATGTGTCTTATTCATTATTCTTTTTATCTCACTATTATTATTATTATTATTATTACGTTTAATGACAATACACTCAAACTCTTAATTTCTAGAAGGTTCCTGTTTTCTTTTTTTTCTTCATTTAAATCCATATAATTTTTCATTATCATTTTATTCAGTAAATTTATTCTATATAAATTTATATCTTGAATATATACTCATTTATCATATTATTCAATCTATATTATGATTGGTTTAAAAGTAATATTGTAAAAGATCTGTTCAGTATTGTATCGTATTGATAGTTGACCGGTATTACCTATACATTTTACTAGTTGTATTCATTCAATTAATAAAGTAATTAAAAGTAATTAGAAGATAATAATAATAATAATAATGACGAGCTTTATTTAGTATAGTTTAAATGTTTTCGGTTATTTTATTATTATAGTTGTAGGTAAACATTTTTTTAAAAAAAATCGTTTTGTTTTCTTCTAATTAACTTTGCTTTCTATTGTTAATGATTTAAGTTTCTTTTCATTGTTTCCCACTTTAAATTTCGATTCATGATTGTTTTAATTTTCACTATTTGTGAAATGAGTAAATAACATTTTACCCATTTAAAAATACAACAATAGAATGTGAAGAACACAGTAGTTGTTATGCAAAACGAAAATAAATTTTCAAAAAAATAATAATCATAATAACGAGTACTTAGATATAATTTGGAAAGAATGTTTTTGGGACAGTTAGCAACTATGAAAAAAAAAATCAAGATAATAACATTTCTAAATACTCTCCATTTAACTAAAAATATTGAAAACTGGTCATATTTAATCTGATTTATACAAGATTTTATTGAACAGTCAATGTTCGTTAATATTGGTATGAAATTGGTTTGTGTTGAATTACTATTTCTATGTTGATTAATTTGTGTTGATGTATTATAATCAGCTAGCAATTATATTGTAGCACTTCTATTTCTATTGTATTTTATTCGAAAAACAAAAATTCATAAAATATATTTATAGATAGAATCATCAATGTATTTCTTTTCATTTTTAATCATTAAAAAGGTTTACACATTAAGTGAAATATCTTGATGATAAATGATGATTGTAAAATTTATTAATTGACCTATGAAAATATTTATTGTCGGAAGTGATCTAGAATGTACAGATTACTTAATTTAATCATTAACTCACAAATCTATATGAAGATAGATCATCAGATCCTTCATTTCTTGATGTTGTTTGAGATTAATGCTTTCCAAACAAAAACAATACTTACTCGAACCAAGTGAAGTTATAAAAAAATAACATGCTACGAATGATCATGAACATATTATGTTAAAGTACTTGATGATCATTATCAAAATGATTTTATTGACAAATATCATAAGGACAGAAATAAGAACTCTGAGTTAAATTAATTTCTTTACATGGATTTAAATTATATTTTGCTAATGCAATAAGAAGAAGTTTATCAGACTTCTGTGATATATTCGCGCAATACATTTCGAACAATTTGGATAGACAGACACAATCCTCCATTGAGAAACATTTGGTTGAGACTGGTCATTAGGTTGACATCAAGTCGGCATGTGTAGTGTTATACAAATATTTTAAAGGACGTATACTAAGGTGTATTGAAGCCTTGGCTTTACGGAAATTGAAACCCCCTTTGTGCGTCCAAAAACAATTTGTCCTTACAATTAACCTACCCTAGTAGTACTGATTTATTATCCAGAGTGGTAATCACATGGCTTTTGTGTACTTTATTATTTTTCCTTTGTTATGACTTACCCTTAATCTGTCTAGTTGACCTTTTAATTTTCATTTATAAATGTTCTTAACAAGTATACGTGTGATCAGATAATTCGAAATGTATTGCGCAAATATATCACATAATTCTGATAAACCTAGTCTTCTCATTGCATTATCGAAATTTATCAAAAGGACTAAGTGTTTCAAATTTTATATTTTGGCAAACAAATAATAAATTTGTTGGAATTGTATTTGGGAAGAATATTTTTCTGTAGAATGTTTCATAAAATATAAAAAAATAATAAGTTGTATAGATGAATGGTACGGTATAGTACATATGTTTTTCCCCACAATTTCACTTTGTTCTGACAAAGGATCTACTTGTAGCCTCTCTATTTTTGAAGTAACTCAGTAATAAACGTTTACTTCCTGTCCTGTTTTAAAGTTTAAAGTGCAAGATATATGCAACTGAAGGTGAGATTTATTAGTAAATTTTCGATATAATAGTATATCTGAGTGGCTATTCTTGCTTAATAATATAATGATTCTTCGAGTTTTTCTTATCTAAGAAATGTTGTAACTGATTATTTATTAGAATTTGTTTGAAAAAGTGAAAGTTTTATGATTGTCATAAAACTTATCTATGTCTTTGCAAACAATTTGTCAACATCCCATCTTTTGATTTAAAATGCATTGAAACTTTAATGGCGTTGTGTTAATTTCTGAAGCTGTTCTAATTAATAAAAAATGTATTCACAAACTAAACATTTCCTGACATGAAACAGATCGGCAGGAAGTATTTCTATGAAAAACAAATGATAAAAACTAATAATGACAAATAAAGTTTTTTTAATAAGATATAATTCTGAAACACATTGTACTCAAGTACAAACGGAAGTAAAGCTTACATGTAAGCAAGCATTAAATACTTATTTGTATCGAATACATTATTTAATTTTCATACATCTGACATATATCTATATAAGAAATAGCATCTACATTGTGGTGAGCATGATCAAACAAACATTCTACATTAATGGATCTACAAAGCCATCCCTCATTTAATCAGCATCATCAATAAAGTATCCCTTCACTTTCGAATTGATTGACGTTGGAGGTTACCGATTTTTCAATTAAAACTGTAAGAAACCTATTTCGACACAAGTCATTAATAGGACAAACTTATAAATCATTAAAATATTTATGATTTTACAAATAATTTTGATAAAACGAGCAGCAACTTTATTTGTGCTCTTGCCGCATAAATAAAAAAAGTATATTAGACATTAATGTATAACTTTCGTAATCCTATGTCAATAGCTATGAAGGGAATACGCTTTCGAAAGTGATCAACATAAACATACATCTTCAGTTGGAAATAAAAACAAACGTAGAAATGTATTCAATTTTGAAACAAAAAGTAAATGTATTGTACTATTTCGATCGTGCTTCACAAATAACACTATACTTTCCTTCGTACTGTTAAGGAAACAGTAATTTAACAAATTACTTTCTGTAATATAAGATTGTGGTGTGTGCTACTTATATTAACATAAGTAGTATATGATGTTAGTCGTGAACAGAAGGTCTGGCAACAGATAGACAAGAGAATCAAACAGTAAAGAATGGAACAAGATGCAGTTTGCATGAAAATGCAAGAACAATGAAGTCTGGGTCATTTTGAGACAATTTTCAAATTAAGCATTTACTTTATGATTCTTAGATTTTATTAACAAGTCCTGTAATTTTGTGTTAAGTACATTCGATTGTCCCCACTCGTGCTCTAATCACTACAAGATTGTTTAAATAACAAACAATGAATAGTATTGAAACTATTCAATGGTGTTCTATTTAGAATTTACTGAAACAATGAAATCATTAACAATTCTAATAGACTTTACAAGTTCATAAATCAATATCTTGAATAAAATCAACTAATTAATTATTTTATTCATTAATTTTTATTATATTACTGCCAAATAAATAAGATGTAGACAAATATACGTTTTTGTTTTATGTACGTATCTCAATATATAGGCGCCAAATATTGGCTAATTATTGTGTGCAATCTGAACTAATTCATTTGTCTTTATTTTGTTAATTTTCACTGTGTTTTTTTCTTTTTTGTTTTGTAATTTGTGCACTTATGTAGAAAAAAGTGTTATAACACTATAAATCGTTAAAGTGCAGTATTTTATTATTATAGAAAAAATATTAAAACAAAAGGAAAAGCTGCCAATGATCAACATAGAAAGTAAATAAGTTTGATTACACTCAGTCGTGTGAATATCATAAGATTATTTCCAATCAAAAAGGGGGGATATAAATGAATGTGAAACAACAAGAAAAACTATGTGGATATTTCTTGTTGTTATGGTAAATAGAAATTTTTAAGTTAAATATCGTTTATAACAACTCAATTAATTATTTCAAATGTCAAGAGAAATAATTAAAAAATTGGAAATCTCAGTTATGTTTACAGACTTTATTTAATTTCTTTCAAGAAAACTCAGTTACATTTTTGATTTGCTACTTTTAAATCTTTTCATTTTATGTATTCCAATTAACAACAAGAAAGGCAATAATGATAATAATTACTTATTACTGATCAACAGGATTATATAACATGATTTATATAAGTGAAATAATACATTTGTAATATCTCAATCAGTATGAAAATTAGATTTTCTGACGTGTCATGACTCAGTGTAAGCCAGTTCTTCAGAGAATAAACCAAGTAGCTTACATATACTGCACATAATGAAATGATATACTGGAATATTCATATGACTTGTACACTGAAATATATGCCCCTTCCAAACAATATTTATTATTTTTAACTCTGTTGGGGACAGACAAAATTGGATAAGTGATTTTCGTCAGTCAACACTGAACTATCAGTCGTTTCATGTATAGCATTCCAGGTACAATTTTCCCCATGTGATTAGTCTTCATACTGATGTAAACATATGAAATAATTCATATCAAAATGTTAAACAAATACTACTTAAAAGTTATCAAATCATGCTCCCTAGTATTTTCTTAATTTTATTGATAATGTTTGTTGAATCAGATAAGCAATTCTTTGAAATAATAAGTTATACGTAAATGAATATCTTCCTTGACCGTCTAATAGAGTGTAAAACTGGGAATATATTATAAACATAAAGTAATATAGTGTAGTAAATGATTGAGCTTGATGCAAAACGAGTTCTGATTTTTCGGATCATAGATTGTATATCAATAAGTTTAGAGGAGTCTCACAATAAGACGAAATGGCCATCCAGTGCTTCCAGGTTTTCAGTGGTAGTCTAGCTTCACTTCACTCATTATCTCAGCCAATAAAATTTGGATTTCTTAGATAGTTTGTAAGTTAGTAATTATATGAATATATAGAAACATTTAATGCCGTGGTCGAAAATACAACTAATGTCAATGGCGAAAAACGTTGATTTTTTTTAAAAACAAGAGCCATGGAATAGACATTTTTACTTCTTGGCAATTAGTCTATTAAATATAATTATTTATTATCACATATACAAATAAGGATTCATGGCAAAGTTTTTATTTTATAAACCTTAGTAACACACAACTCAGAAGTTCAATATTGGACATTAGTATACCATCGTTTGTTACTATAGGAAAAAAGTTGTAAATGGCCATATTGATTATCTTAATATCATCAGAATGAGTTTTGTGGAGATTTTAGTAAATTTCACAGGTTGTAATCATGAGTCAGTTGAAGCTAGACCACCATTGAAAACCTGGAAGCACTGGACGGCCGTTTCGTCCTAGTATGGGACTCCTCAGCAGTGCGCATCCACGAACCCGCCCCCCGCAAGAGTCGAACCCTGGACCTACTGGCTTCCTGCGGGGGGCGGGTTCGTGGATGCGCACTGCTGAGGAGTCCCATACTAGGACGAAACGGCCGTCCAGTGCTTCCAGGTTTTCAATGGTGGTCTATCTTAATATCGTCGAAGATATTATATCATCCTTATTCTTTAAAGCTGAGTTCTTTTAGATAAAAAACTGGTACACCATATTTTAACCTAATTAAATATTGGATTACATTTAAATTGTTCCAAAGTCAGATCTTCGATAGGACTTAAATAGGACTATGCGATCTATATTCACTACAGTTCTTGAAACTGGTTTATGAATGGTGAAATGTAATGAAATTCTACTTATCCGTTCAAACCATACATATATACTTGATAATCTTATGAGCTGTTGAAAAGCTCTATCATTATGGAAAAATTTAAACATTATTACCAAA